TGTTCTTTCTTATCTACACTTGTTCTTCTGCCTGATCTCTACACATACTTGCCCATGACGGAATCCAAAAGTGTTTTTTTTTTTAATAGTGTATTTCATGAACGCTGGGGGTAACTGGATGTGTGGAAGGTTAGATAACATCATTGTAGTTTTACAGTCTTCTGAAACTCCTAATGTAAGAGAAATGTTAATGATAGATTATCATTATTATCATTATTTAGGTGATGGATGGAAGAAAAAACAGCAGTCTGTGTTCGACATGTACTTATCTTTATTTTAGTTTATTTTTTATTTTCTTTCTTTTTTAGTAAGGTCAGTGATCCCAACCATTTACTCTATTTACCCGCACGAAAGAAGAAGAAAAGGAAAGAAGCAGAAGAAGACAAGGGAAAAGAAGAAGAAGAAGAGAGGAGAAAAGAGAAAAATTAAAAGAAAAATGTGTATGTAAATGTATGGAAAGAAAACACGGAAAGGCATATACCATTAATATTTTACTTATCATAGCTTTGATGAAGAAAAAAAATCCAAATAGCCAAGGATTATTGAACAAGAAAAAACGAAATATATACCAGTTATTATCAATAGGCCGTTGCTGAGTCACTGAGTCAACAAGTAGTCAACCAATGCTAACTACTTTCATCAAAATCCGCTAAGATTTTAAAACTCTAAAGAATTTGCTCTAGATTTGACTAGAAAATTCGCTAGTTTGGCGAATATCAGTATTTTGCACAAGGTTAATAATCATAAAACAAATGGATTACACCACGTAAAAGGATCTGGCACCTGCCACGTATTTTATTTTATTTTATTTATTTATTTATTATTATTATTATTATTATTTTTTTTTTTTTTTTTTTTTTTTTTTTTTTTTTTTTTTTTTTTTTTTTAGAATTACATTGTAATATCTTTGTTAACCATTCTTCAGGTATTTTATTATGAATTGGATCGAATCGCATTCTGTTTCAGTTTTCAGAATGACAACTCTAATCTAATCCTGAAGACTGAAAACAAAGTATATATATATTTTCGTAACAGTGTATATAAATAATTGTTTTCGTGTGCTAATCTACATATGACATTGAGTAATGCATTTCTCAACCTTTTTTGGGTACAAAGCCAGCAGCTGCTCCCGTTCACACCATACAAAAAACAAAAAAAAAAAAAAAAACAAAATAAACAAAAAAAAAAGATATTTGGATATTTGGAAGCTATCAGAAAAAAAAAATATATCCAGCCGCTTATTTTTGACAGACTAACGACTCTGTGACCTTCACCTTTGTTTGTTTCATAGTTTCAGTTAAGTTCACTCTATTCTATTTCAGTTCCGTTCAGCTTCGTTTGGCTTATCTCACTTTAGTTCAGATTCATTTTATTCAATTCAGTAAGACTTTCCTCTTGTGCAGTTCAGTTTAGTTCAGCTCAGTTGTTTACTTCAGTTCAATAGAGATTAGTTTAGTTCAGGAGAGTTCTCTTTAATTTTGATCAGTTCAGTTCACTTCAGTTCATTACTGTGTAACTGATTACAGTTTAGTTCAATTCATTTCAGTATTTATCATTATTGTTACAATCATTATTACTATTACCATCATAACCTTTCCTATTATCTTCTATCATCACTACCATCATCATCATCATCTTTATTACAAGGAAGTTATGCTTTTAGTACGTTGGTTAGTTAGTTTGTTGGTTAGCAGGATAACTCGTAAATATATGAACAAACTTAGATGTAATTAAATTTTGGTGTCGATCCGGATCCTGATTCGAATCCATGAATATTTTTAGAGGATGGCATCAGTTGCCGCTCCTGGAGAGACAATAGGGGTAACGATCATTATTATTAGCACTGCGAGGTATTATTATTATTATCATTACCATTATCATTATTATTGTTATTGTTATTGTTATTGTTATTGTTATTGTTATTTTATTGTTATTGTTTGTTATTGTTATTGTTATTGTTATTGTTATTGTTATTGTTATTTGTTATTTGTTATTGTTATTGTTATTGTTATTGTTATTGTTATTGTTATTGTTTGTTTTACTGTTATGATTATGATATATTATGATTTATTTTAAGGCTTCTGCGGAGAAAGATACGAATAAAAATGACGCAGATGAATAAATGAATACGTTCATGAATATATTTGAATAAATGAAAATACTGATAATCTGTTGTTGTTGTATTTTTTTTGCCATCAATGACATGACTTGACATCACTCCTACCTTCATCATCATTTTTTTATCATTTTCTGAGGAAGATCTTTGGATATATACCAATAACTAACTTCCTATTCGAGTATTTACATGAATCAGTAATTACGTCGCTCACAAAACACCATACTGTACTTAAAATTGCAATAACATGAATTGAAATGCAACCAACATACACAAATCACAGAATTAACAACATCTTGACTCCAAATAAAATGCCAACAACATAACACAACACATAAAAATTGAATTGCAACAATACATCGAAACAACATATACAAATGAATT